GTGTGTGTGTGTGTGTGTGTGTGTGTGTGTGTGTGTGTGTGTGTGTGTGTGTGTGTGTGTGTGTGGTAGCCTGAGATCTGGGAAAACATAACCTTGAGACAGCCTGCCTGTTCTGCACGTTCTGTGAGAGAATATCTTGCCTGGAACCATAACAACACACTGGCTGCATACGTAATGACATTTTCAGTAAGACATGAAATCAGCTGTGCGGTAAGGACAGGTACAAATGCACTGCCTGCTGCCCGAGGCCTGTTTGCTCCATCTGGTATGTTTATGTAAGTAAAACATATTTAGACGTGTGTATACACACATGTGTCGCTGCTGTGTGTGTGTGTGTGTGTGTTGCATCAAAATCCAATTGCTGCCTGCAAGGAGCACTGAGAGAATCCCTTCACTGTGTGTGTGTGTGTGTGTGTCTGTGAGGGATCATTATATGTATCTAGAGGCCAGATGAGTGGCTGAGGCCAGCAGCGGCCTTTTGATAAGTATGCACGGTATGTCTGTGGAGGCCAGAGGGCTCGGGACAGGAACAAGAGGCTATTGTGGTCCAGAGGAGAGGAGAGGAGAGAATAGACCTAATATCAGTGCACAACAGATTTTCTTGTCTTCTTATCTTTAAATCTTGGGATTTCAATCCTATGATCCAACTCACTCTCATCAGACAGCTCATTCTCCATCTCATCCTGCTCCATCTGTCGACACCAGCCCTCCATGCGCTCCGTCTCTGCATGCAGCAACTTGAGGAACCAGCGGCCGTCACGGGGGCACACCAATCGACCGACGGCCTCCAAAACGTCCGTCTCCGGCTCGGCCACGCTGTCCATCCAGGGGTCCGGAGGGGGCAGGATAGATGGGTCGAACCCCACCTCCCCGTAGTCGTCTCCGGCGCAGGCATGGTAGTGGTTGCCTGAGCCTTGGATGCTGACGGTGGAGGTGGAAGCGTCGCGGGAGTGCTGGCGTGGCATGGTGGCACAGTGACGAGGCGGCAGCTCTGGGGCATCGGTTGGGTCGTCGAGGTCGGCCTGCACGGCCGTGGTTACGCTGTTGGAGCGGGTCATCCTGCGGTAACTAGGAGAGGAGGCAAGAAGAACAAAGATGTTTTGTTTTGCTGATTTTATGCAGTGATTGATTACTCATATTGTGCGGTAATAAAAGATCTTTCCTTTTTGCAGTAATTCTGTTTGCACACTGTTCTTGATGGTGCACCAAGTGTGAAAAATTGAAATGATCACAGTGATCTCCTCACTGATAGTGATGAATACCTTTTTGTATGTGGAACGTCCTTTGAGCACGTTTGTTTTGTCACCTAGCTCATTCAGAAGCAGCAGAGTGTGCAGTCGTCCACAAACTCTGCTTTATAAGCACACAAACACACACATGTACACACACCTGGGAACCTTCCCTCCAGCTTGGTGTGCCATGTTGCATTTGGCTCAGAGGCTGTGTGACACTGCTGGGGCAGCGTTTGCCAGGTCCCTCCAAAACACACACGTGTTTACTCTCATGTGCAAAGATTAAATCAACACACACACATTTGGCTACGTTCCCCTGTAATGAATGGGACGCCAGAGGGATGCGGGAACTGGTATGGGGGGGTTGGGGGTTTAGCTTCACAGCGATTGGACGAACCTGGAGTCTAATCAGAGCCAGCTTACAACTCAAAGTGGTGAAAACACATCATTTATTAATAACTACAAAAATGAACCAGAGCACTGCTGACTGAGAAAAACACCGACAACTTTGCAGCAGAAATAAGAGCAGGGACGCACAGCAGCTACAAAGATGCACATTTAAATTCAGCACACAAGACCTCATGCAAACTTGAAAATTCTGGTGCACCAAGCAAGCAATATCCTCTGATTAGCCACGTCTGGGTTTACGTTACACAATCTGACTCTCTGTTTGCAACAGGCTGCAAATTAGTAAGAAGAAACAACTTTTCCATGCCAGAAAATGACCTATTAGCTGCAAACATGCTGACTATCCTCTCTCACGTGAACCTCAGGTTGACCTGCCTGCAGCCTGACACACACAAATGATCACAGCTCGGCCCATCTCCGGACGCACGCTCTTCTTCACCGCTGCCCATTCATCTCTAACCTCCCTTTTTTCTCATTCATCTCTCCTCTTCCGTGAACACGAAAAAAAAGGAGGGAGAGAGAGAAAGAAAAAGGGAGTGGCTTCGAGGAGATCAAACAGAGTGTGTGTATGCTTTATGTGTACGTGCCGGCAGTTAAAGAGTAACTCCTCCGAGCAGGTGTTCAGTTCTAATGACCTCAGCCTGCTTTCTATCAGCCCGCTAACAACTTCCTGCAGGGGCAGAGACGGGCAAGGCCAAACACAGCCCAGACAGAAAGACAGACATATCAATAGGCAGGGCTTCAAGAGCAAAGTCAATGTGAGGGGAGAGAAGAAACTGAAATATGAGGAAGGAATGCAGAGGAAGTGAAGCAAGTATAACATCACAAAGTCCATGTTCTGATTATGTTCATGTGGAGAACATGGAGGAAAGTTGTAGAGTCTCGTATTCCACTTCCTGCAAATGTCAGAGGGCCACTTCAGATCCAGGTCTTTAGACTACATCTGCTTTCAGACTTGTACATGTGAGAACGCACAGGTCAGAGTCAGTTGTTGTCTGGAAGAATCTGGAAAGAATATAAACATCCCGGGATGAAAAAGAGGAGCTGTACACGTAGAAGACACCAATGAAGATGTCCAACTCGGAAAGACAAGAAGATTTGAGGACTTTTGTTGATAAGGTTCTTCGTGTGTGAAAGACAAACTCCAGAAAATGTCCGGAACCAATTTTCTGGACATTTCTTTTGTTTGCTGAAGTCTCATAACCTTTCCTCTCATCTTGTTTGTTTGGCCCTTTAAGTTAAGTTTTCAAGATGGTTGTGCATATGGTTTAGTCACTAGTGGACCATGAGCAATGCCCAACTACCCCTGTGACTGCAAAGACATCTGGTGACCACCAGTCTCACACCCTAAACTAGCAAGGCCCTAAAAAAACAGTAATTCAATGATCACGTTTTTAAGTGTTTTGCTCAATTTAATAAAAGTTCACTATTATATATAAAGACATCACAATAGGACACTTTGATTGACATCTTTCTAGAGCTAAGTTCTGTAGCTTGTGCACAGATCTGCACTGAAAACACGTCTGTGTAAAGACAAGCATGTTTGTTGTGTTCATCGCTTTTACAGCTCTGCTCCACTCCTCTACAGTTAATCCTCGTTCAAACAGCCATGCGAGGTTATGACCTGTGAGTGGTGCGTATAAACACACACACACACACACAC